AAACAAGAAAATCACTTTTCTCATTTTATTTGCAGAAATTAATTAAATAATTTATTGTATTATTTATTTATTTACATTTTAATAAATGTAATTATATTTAATTTATATTAATTTATTTTATTTAAAAAAAAAATTGTATTTATTTACAGAAAAAGTATCTGCTAATGAAGTAAACTTAAGAAATAAACTTCATTTAAACTGGACACAAGTTTATTTTTCTTACTCCATTGGCAGATATTTGTTCTTATTTTAAGTGTAAAGTCGCTTAATTATGCCATTTTGCTCTCAAGTACATGTATCTTAATTTAAGGATGTTTGTACTGGAGAAAAAGAAAAATAATGAGGAAGAACATAATTTTTTTTATAGTGTAAAGCCAATGTTTGTCTTGTTTTCAGGCCTGGATTTGAGTTTGTGTTCAAGTGAAAGCTGAAGTGCATGTGTGTGTTTGTGAAAATCTTCTCACGCTACACACTTAAACCTCTCTGTCCGTCGTGTCTCGACTCGTTTCTGGATGGATTTAAGGAACCTGAGCATCTGGTTTGAGCAGTTCTCTGTGATTAATTCCTCTGTAAGAGCCGGATTGTGGTGTTATGTAGGTCTGTGATTCTCCGTGAGTCTGAGTGAACAGATCTGCTGTGCGATGTGTTTTTAGGCTGTCGTTCAGGTGTGTTTCTCACCTGAGGCTCACTTCTGTTGGTAAATGTTTATTGCGCTGTGATTTCCTCTGATCTTCATAGTTTCTCTTGAGCGTCTGATAATAATCAGCGGTGAGGATATGTGGCTCGTTCTCCTATCAGACGGGTTATTTATACACAGTGATATTTTTATTCCTGAGCCGTTTGTTCAGCGTCTGAGCGGTCGAGAGCTCAATGTGTTTCTCCATCTTCATGCTGTGTTAGTTAATATAACCGGATGTAGTTCACATCAACTTCATTATTTAGCATTGCATCTTTAGAAATGTTGACTTTTTGTGTGTTTTAATATTGACAGTCAATGTGTTTTATTCAAAGCTGTAAAATATAATGAAACATTGAGCTTTTTGGAGAAATTTAAATTAAGAGCCAAAGCCAAAGTTTCAGACCAGGGTTATTAAAGGTAACTAAAACTGAAACCATAAAAAACTGTTATTTGAAATAAAATGAACTTAAACAGAAATAAAAATACAATATTTTGAAAAACTAAACCTATTTAAGTTCAGCTAGTCAGCAACATTTCTCATTTAGTTAACTTGAAGTAATAAAATAATTAAAACTTAATCTGAAATAAAGATGAATAAAAAAGACCTTTTTTAAAATAAAAAAAACATTTTACTTAAAGTCTTTATGTATAATGCATTAAAAAGGTATTCATAATGTAGTTTGTAATGCTTTTTATTGCGTTATATGTTTGCATAAATAATTGTTACCAAAGTTAAAATGCATTATAATATCTGAAGGTTTGCTTGTCGTGTCTTTTGATGCATTATATTTTGTATAGGTGTAATAATTAATAGATAATTAGTGCATTAGGATCAGGAAAGGTGCAGTGCAAAGCATACTTAATGCATTAAAAATACTTTTACAATTTATTATTTATAAAGGCAATTATATACATTTTTTAAATAAACAAAAATGACAAAAAAGCAAAATGACTAAAAAATTAAAATTGTAATAGTATGTCACTGATACTAAAATAAAACGGGATCAGACACTTCTGAAGTTAAATAGAGTAGATTGTGATCGACACAATGAATAAGTAGCGTTTGTGTGTGTGTGTGTTTTTTATGTTATAGTTTTTATTTTAAGGGCCTTATTTCTATTTTATTTTGTTTTATTTTATTCTATTTTAAGGGCCTTTGTTTATGGTGGTGGTAGTGGTTTTTTGTTGTAATACAAAAAAAAAAACAACTAATAAAAATTACTACAACTCGAACTACAATGAAAGTAAAAACAGAAATTCTAAAAAAATAAAATCTAATTCAAAATATTAACAAACACTATACTAGTGTATCAATGATACTAAAATAACACAAATTAAAGTCACTGCATCTCAATCATGAAAAATTTGTTTCGTAAATCCTTTTAGGAGAAAAAAAAAATAGCAGTCCAACATTTTTTTTATGTTCCATGTCTTTTTTGTTTTTTATCAATCAACAACAAGATCGGCTTTTAGTTTATATGCCTGGAACTGGCAAATATGCTTGATATTTTGCATATATTTTCCATTAAGTGTGTGAATGAACAAGTGCATTTTGATTTCACTGAAGTATGCAAACTTTTCAGAGATATTGGTCTAAAATCTGAACCTTTAGTCTAAATGGTTTTGTTTTTTCGCAGCATTTTGTTTTGCTGCTTCACTCTGATGGTCCATTTTATTCTATTAGTATTTCCAGCCGTGCATTTATTTAGAACAGCTCCTCGAATATGAATATTGTCATTTGTGAACTCTATTGTAAGGCGTTTATATTCTGAGCATTTTTCATGTAAATGTATGTAAATCTAATATCTGTGTACGTGTGTAACAGACCCGCAAAAGGCTTTCATTACACACAAATATTCCCATCCTCTTCTCATTTGGTGAGTGTTTTGTTTTTGCTGTGTTTTGCATGCGTTTTCTGTCAATCAAGCTGTCAATCACTCATATCTGAACCGGTGTAAACACCTGTGACCTTTGACCCGTGTCACATCTGACAGGAACCCACAGCGGCATTTGAGCTTGAAAGATTTTTCTCTTCTATTTCTAATAAATGCTGTTCTTTTGAACTTTCTATTAATCTGTGAATCCTGAAAAATAAGGTATATCACAGTTTCCACAAAATTATTGGGCAGCACAACTGTTTTCAACATTGATAATAATCAGAAATGTTTCTTGAGCAGCAAAGCAGCATATTATACTGATTTCTGAAGATCATGTGACACTGAAGACTGCAGTAATGATGCTGAAAATTCAGCTGCGCATCACAGAAATAAATTACTTTTTCCAATATATTCACGTAGAAAACAGTTATTTTAAATTGTAATAATATTTCACAATCTTTAATGTTTTTGCTGTATTTTTGATAAAATAAATGCATCCTTAGTGAGCAGAAGAGTCTTCTTTCAAAACATTTAAAAAATCCCCAAACCTTTGAACAGTTAACTAAATTACTAGTTAACTAAAACTATAAACATAAAAATCTGATACTTGAAATAAAATGCTTTAATTGTAATAAAATAAAATATTAAAGAATATTAAAATAATAATAAAATAAAAAAAATCAATTTAAAAAGTCAATATATTAAATATATTACTTGTAATATTATAATAATTAAAATTAAAATACAAATTTAAATTTATTTTATTTTAGTTAGTTTAACTTGGTGTGCTAAAATAACTCAAACTAAAACTGAAATAAAAAAAAATTTTCATTGCATTTATTAAAAAATCTAAACAAAAAATAAAAATGACGAAAACAAAACAAAAAACAAAATGACTAAAACTTTAACTAAAATGAAAATTCAGGCAAAATCTGAAAAAGAATTCAAAATATGAATAAAAACTACTGTAGTTTCTAGTTCATTCATCACTCTGGAAGAAGGTCGAGACGAGCACATTGCATTGTGGGATATGGTGCAATATCACCCGATTATGTACAACACATTTTACCAAATATAGTAGTGTATTTTCCCAGTTTGCATACTATATACTGCAGAAATACAGAAGTCGTATGCTATTCTGAACATTTTCAGTGTCTGAAGTGTGTGTGTGTGTGTGTGTTTGAGTTGGTTGCGTGTGTGTGTGTGGGTGTGTGAGTGAGTGTGTGTGTGTTTGAGGTGAGTGTGTGTGTGTGCGTGTGTGTGTATGTGAGTGTGTGCGTGCGTGCGTGTGTGCGCGTGTGTGTGAGTGAGTGTGTGTGTGTGTGTGTGTGTGTGTGTGTTTGAGGTGAGTGTGTGAGGTTAATAAATGTGCCGTCGTCAGCGTTTGCAGCACCTGTGATGAGTTTGTGTTCAACATAAACAAGCACAAAGCCTGAGGGAGCAAACACAAACACACGTATGAACACACACATAACATGCTCTCAGAGTCGGTGAGCTGTGTTCAGTGGCGTCGGCTGGATCTGTAAGGGTCTGTTTTTCTGTAAAGCGTGAATCTGGAGCACTGAAGGATGCTGGGAGGATACAGAGACACCCAGAGTGTAAAATAGGCCAGAGAGAGAGTGTGCGTGAGTCCTTTAGTTCCCCTCAAACACACACACACACACACACGGTCCAAAACACTCGCCAAGAATAATGTGAGTAAAAAGTGCTTTGCTGAGTACTGAGCTGGTCTCCATATGTTTGCTAACCATCTGCTGCACATTTATTAGGAATACGGCTGTAATTGAACGGTAAGAACAACAGCGACTGTCAGCGATTCACCGGCTAATAATAAAAACATCTGTCATGAAGTTTGTTTTTACCTGCTAAAGTCTTTTAGCGTTAGAAACGTTTGAGGAAAGCAGGCTCTTCTGCTCGCCAAGGCTGCATTTTTTTAAAATTAAAAATACAGAAAAATTTTGTAAAATTGTCAAATATATTAAAATTCAAATGAGCTGTTTTCTTTGTGAATATCTGTTAAACTGTAATTTATTCCTGTGATCAAAGCTGTATTTTCAGCATCATTACTCCAGTCTTCAGTGTTACACGATCCTTCAGAAATCATTCTAATATGCTGATTTGCTGTTTATCATTGTTATCAATGCCCAAAACAGTTTATTTTTCAGGATTCACAGATGAATAGAGAGTTCAAAAGAACAGCATTTGTTTGAAAGAGAAATCTTTTGAAACATTATAAATGTCTTTACTGGCACTTCTGATCAATTTAATGCGTCCTTGATAAATAAAAGTTTAAATTTTGTAAAAAAAAAAAAACATCTTACTGACTGTACATGTGAAATATTCCTTGTCATAAGGACAAAAATGTGCATATATTTGAAGAAAAACACATTGAATAAGTCAGTATTTATGGCTGCTAATTGTTCGGTTTTGTTTCTCTGTTGCAGGAGACTAATGAGATCGTGGCCATTAAGAAGTTTAAGGACAGTGAAGGTGAGTATAAATATAGTATAAATATTGCTTTGTGAATATCTGTTAAACTGTAATTTATTTCTGTGATCAAAGCTGTATTTTCAGCATCATTACTCCAGTCTTCAGTGTTACACGATCCTTCAGAAATCATTCTAATATGCTGATTTGCTGTTTATCATTGTTATCAATGCCCAAAACAGTTTATTTTTCAGGATTCACAGATGAATAGAAAGTTCAAAAGAACAGCATTTGTTTGAAAGAGAAATCTTTTGAAACATTATAAATGTCTTTACTGGCACTTCTGATCAATTTAATGCGTCCTTGATGAATAAAAGTGTAAATTTTGTAAAAAAAACATCTTACTGACTGTACATGTGAAATATTCCTTGTCATAAGGACAAAAATGTGCATATATTTGAAGAAAAACACATTGAATAAGTCAGTATTTATGGCTGCTAATTGTTCGGTTTTGTTTCTCTGTTGCAGGAGACTAATGAGATCGTGGCCATTAAGAAGTTTAAGGACAGTGAAGGTGAGTATAAATATAGTATAAATATTGGGTGCAAAACTATATTAGAAATGACTAAAAGACATTTAAGTTAAAGCACTAAAATTACTAACTGTAAATAAATTAAAACTAAAACAAATAAAAATATGTATTAAACTTGACAAATATGAAAAATATGAAAGTTAAATAATTAAAATAAAATAAAATTCAAAATATTAATAAAAACTATAAGTAGTATATAAATAATACTAAATTAACTGAAATAAAATATAACATAAATATTAGATGAAAAAAACTACATTGGAAATACTTAAAATTAGGTAAATAAAATATTTAATCGCGATTAATCGCACGACTGTCATGAGCTAACTCGTGATTAATCGCAACTTAATCGCAAATTTTTATCTGTTCTAAATGTACCTTAAATTAATACTTTTCAAATTTTTAATACTCTAATTAACATGGTCACGAACAAATATGGATGCTTTATGCAAATGTATGTTTATTATTAGTGAAACCATACTCAACATAGAGCATGAAGTTTAGACAGGTTTCAAAGGTCATAGATGTTTTTCAAAGAACTTGTCTATTAGACACATGAAGCTTATTTAGTCAGCTTTCAGATGATGTATAAATCTCAATTTCTAAAAATGGACCCTTATGACTGGATTTGTGCTCCAGGGTCACGTATATTTAAATTTAAAAATTAAATGTCAATCAGAAATAATATAGACATTTAATAAATACATTGAAATTTGAAAATATAAAATAAAAGCCAACTCAAAAAATTTTATAAGAACTGTAATTAGTATATAAATAATACTAGTTACACTTAAGTAATGTTTTACGTTGTATTACAACTGAAACAAAGTAACTAATTATGTTCTATTTTTTAAATTGAAAGTGACAAATTAGTTTCTGGTTTCTACTGGTTTTGTGACATTTCAGTTTACATATAAAAAGTACTGCATGTTGACTTCTTGTGGCTCTCTGCTCAGAAAATGAGGAGGTGAAGGAGACGACCATGCGTGAGCTGAAGATGCTCCGCACGCTGAAGCAGGAGAACATCGTGGAGCTGAAGGAGGCGTTTCGGCAGCGAGGGAAGCTGTACCTGGTGTTTGAGTACGTGGAGAAGGTGAGATGAGACGGAGAGCGCTGAGATGCTCGGTCCTTGTTCTCCTGATGTGGTTTGTTGAGGTGATTGTGTGTGTGTTTGTGCTGCAGAACATGCTGGAGCTGCTGGAGGACATGCCTAACGGAGCTCCGCCGGAGAAGGTCCGGATCTACATCTACCAGCTGATCAAAGCCATCCACTGGTGCCATAAGAACAACATCGTCCACAGAGGTCACAGAACACCAATTATCACTTATATTTGAATGATTTATTTAATTATTAAATCTGCAGAGGTGTGAGACCACCTGCAATAAAATAAATAATATTTTAATACAATCAAAAAATGTAATAATTAAAAAAATAATATAAATAATTCTAAATGTAATTTATTTTTTTGAATAAAATATAATTTATTTATAAAATAAATATTAAATATTTAATTATATTATTTGATTTTAAGCATCATCCTGCATTAAATATTACACATGCATGCTGGATTGATCTGTCTCTCTGGCTTTCTAGATATCAAGCCGGAGAATCTGCTCATCAGCTCCGACGATATGCTCAAACTGTGCGACTTCGGTGAGTTTCTGTAGTCATGTGATCGTGAAGCACCAATCACTGGGCTTCTATCTGGATTGCCCGATGCGCATCACAGGACTTTGTGTGTGAGCGAATCCGAATTCTCATAGTGACCTGTATTAGACTCGTGTGTGTGTGTGTGTGTGTGTGTGTGTGTGTGACAGAAGGTGGTCTGTCTGTCTGTTCTCCATTCTGCTGGAAACACTGCCATTGTTTTGATTGGGAAATGCAATCAAACATCTTCTGTCCTCCTAAAATCCTGCATGTTTCTTTAACATGTTTGATCAGTCACTGATGTAAATGTGAGGTCTGTTGTTCTGGCAGGGTTTGCGCGGGATCTCTCTGAAAGCACCGATGCGAACTACACTGAGTATGTGGCTACTAGATGGTACCGATCCCCGGAGCTGCTGCTGGGGTGAGTGTGTGAACTTCAGTCATGTTATCAGTGGATGGGTACAAATGTCTTGTCACATTTCAATATGAAAAAAAAGTTATATTTTGCTTAAATAAATTCTGTTTTATTTTAATGTCTGTCTATTTTAAAGTTTATTTTTAGGGCCATTTGATTTTTTTTTTTTGGACCGTTTGAATTTTTTTCTCACATTTATAACCCTAAATTCTTTCTTTAATGCATCTGGATGTTACTTTTTATGTTATTTTATTTTATTTTATTGTATTATTTATTTAAAAATAAATACATCAATAAATAAATAAATACAAATGAAGAAAATGACAAATAAAATAATAATAATAAAATTGTATTTTAATTCATATTTTATAATAATATTATTAAACTATCTATCTATCTATCTGTCTGTCTGTCTGTCTGTTAAAATGTAAAAAAATGATAATGTCTTA